ATTACCAAGATAACCAATATTTTGGTCATTTGGTCAGCGGAAAATGACGGACCAGAATCGTCTAGAAACATTTCAAAAATCTTTCGTGCTCTTTTAAACAAACTTTTGACTTTTTAAATAATAAACTAACGTGACTAGATTAACTAAAATAAACTATTTATGTAGATTTTGGCCACATATGAACCAGAATCTTCTGGAAACGACCAAAAATATTTCGTGCTTTTTCACACAAACCTATAACTTTTTAAAAAACAAACTAACGTAAGATTAACTAAAATAAATTATTTATGCAGATTTCGACCATTTAGCGATTTCCTATTAAATTCTTTGCAGCGTTCAGCGAGAAAAGGCCAGATCGCCTAGATACGTTTACAAATTATTTCGTGCTATTTCAAACAAACCTTTAACATTTATTAAAAATAAACTAATGTTTGTTTATCTAAAATAAATTCTTTCTGTAGATTTTGGTAATTTGGCGATTTTCTATTTACTTCTATGCAGCATACAGCGAGAATCGATGGACCAGAATCGTCTAGAAAAGTTCAAAAATGTATTATTTCAAACAAGTTTTGACTTTTTTAAATAAACTAAAGTCAAATAAAGTGAAATAAATGGTTTAAATAGTGACAAAAGCGTACCAGAATTAACTCGAAACGAGCAAAAATGTGCTCATTCTTTCCAACGGAAGATTAAAATATATACAGCTTTACTCCTACATGTACTTGTTTAAGTTTAACGCATAAATTAAAATAATATTTACCAGACAATATGTTGAACTTCTGATCTATTACTTTTTAGAAAGATAGTTGCAGACAACAAGACTGATTTGTTCCAAATCACAAGTTACCATCCTAGCCCCCTTATTTGTCGTATACAAGTAACCAATGTGGTTCCCTTCGCAACATTTGCTAGACTTCCTCTCTGTGTACAACTATACATCCACAAACCGACGGCAAATGGCAACCTAGATCGCCCAAACTGGACAGAATATCATATATTAAAACCTACATGGAAGGTACACAACTCAAAAAAAACAATGCTACCATAATACCACGGTTTCAAAATAAAGCACTATGCAAAATGGTAGATGCTTCTTGGGATGAATAGTGCCATTCTAAGAGACCCGAACATCCCGCACCTTGACAATGATGTCACATGGTTTACAATTACAAACATTACATTTTCAAAGCCACCCGAGCACCAAGGTCACTAACCAGCTACACAGTTAGCACGTTGTAAGACGACTGAAGAGAGACACGTTTGAGTTAGTTTTTAAAGGTTATGAGGTTGTCAGCTAGTTAAATTATGAGTTACTAATGAGTGGGCTTAAATTTATTTATTATTAATATATTTATTAGTCAGTGTATATTAACAAATGGTCGCATATGAACAGTTTTAATACAGTAAAACAGTTTTAAAACAAATATATTTAAAAAAATAAACAAAATAAAAGAAAGACACCAATCATTGAAACACCTGGAATGTCGCAAAGAATCTTAACATTATTCCGTGGATGTCCGTTGATGTGTGTTCAAACATAAAGCAACATCAGGTGGACAAGATCTTGCGGGACGATCAAAATTCCTGTATCCTTTCTGACCTATCAGGCTTTATTTACTAAAATAATGCGAACTTTTTATGATCGGTGGTTGTTCACAAAAAAATTAAACTATTCTAACTTTAAATTTTTCAATAGGAATTTTGAAAAATTGAGAGTTGGGTTGTGTAGTAATTTTGTGTCCCCTGGCTCTTTTATCTGTGGATTATTTGAAAATCTTATCAGCCTATGATTAACCCTTGCGCTACAATGATTCACAATTGAGGAATGATTTTTTACAATTCTCCAATCCATCGTTAATTTGCTTTTGTCCCATCTTGTTTTGCATTCGTTGGATGGAAATTTTACAAAGATCCTTTAGACCAAGTGAGGACGATTTGGAATTTACGCCTTTCATTTACAAAGCAGAATAAAAAAATTGTAATTGATCAAAAGATCCGGGCTTTTCTAATAAGTAATGCAATCATAGTTTAAAAAGTGAAAAATCCAAGGTCATCTAGGATTTTTGGTTTTTCCGGTCAAAATTAGATTGGAATATTGGTTAACCATGCTGCCAGAAAAATATGAGAATTTTAGAAAATTGAAGTTTACTAAAGAAATTCTCACAAAGTATGCAGTCTGGACTTAAATATATTTACTTTTTTAAAAATAACTCAGTGTTTTATTTATCAGAAAGAAAGTAAAAGTACAACTGACACCAAAATTGAAAACGAAAACATTCGAAGGTGAAATAATGACCGAGATGCGAATATCCAACGACATTGGGATTGAAGGTGACTTAGGAACGAGGGCCGACTTTATTGCATTTTCATTTTTCATGCAATCTCAACAGGTTCTCCTATTAATTATTAAAACTAGGGAAATCGTAGATTGAAATTTCATGAAAGGTCCGATACGGACGACTCGTACGACTTGGCACGTTCTTTCTTTCATGGCCTATTTCCCCGCTTGCTCAACAGACTCATAATTTGGACTGTATGGAATTGATTGACAATGAGTGCAAATAAACCAACACAGAAAATGCTTATAAAAACGCTTTCCGGGAAAAAATAATGATTGGTTATTTTTGCACTTTTCTTCTAGGTCTCGACGAGATTATAGAGGTCAAAGTGTCTAAGACTCGTGCACCGAAGAATAAATTTATATTTTATCATTTGTTGTCATGTTTATCAACAGGAAAATTAATCTGTGATTACCAGACTTGTAAATACTTTAAGCTCGTTAGCGATTTGGAGGTCTGAAGTAATTGCTTGTACAATTAAACGAAACAGGAAAATAAAAGAATGGAAAGTTTCGGTGAGGCCGACGTGTGAAATATTACTACTATGTATTTTAGATAAAGTTTTAGACGAAACTAACATTCACATTAACGTTTTATTTCATTATTTATAAGAGGAAATTTGCAGTTTCCTGAGAGGAAAATATGATAAAACGTATCTGACGATACGAGTTGTTTCTGTGCAAACAGACCTAGTGGAGTTGAGATAATAATTGAGCTTAATTAGCAAATTATGTTGCCAGACGATAGGTTACATACCGAATTAAATCATATCCTACTAAATATAATCGCTCTATCAGAAAACAAATTCCATCTTAAAGTAAAACTTCTAAATGTGCTGTCTAAAATTACCAATGTAGAATTCATTTCTTACATACTTTTTTTAATATTATTATTGCATATATTATAATCGTGCGCGCAAGAAAGGAGTTGATAGCGAAAGGGAGATAACGTTAAACGTGAAAAGAAATTATGATTGAGAAATAAAGAAATTGACAGAGAGATTTGTGAGATAATAATATTGTGTCGGTGTGTGAGAATTTAGAATGATCTTCTTTGTCATTATGTCATTTGTATTCGTGTGATATTTTAGATTTTTTTTCACTTGTGAATATTTGTGTTGTGCTATTTTTATGTGGTGTAATTCTCTGTAATATCACTTATGCCACATCTATTTGTTCGTTTGTGTACGCATTTTAATTTTTTATGGTGCTTCATTATTTTTTTAGTAATACTTGGCTTATGTGTACACGTATTTGAGTAACGTGCTTAATTTGTGCTATGTTACTTTTAGGCGAGATGTTTCATTGCGGTTTGCATGTTTGGGTGAATTTCAATGTGACATAATTCTTTTGATTTTTGTGATTTTCTGCTCCTTTCTTTGTGTGTGATATGTGTCCTTATTTATGTTTAGTGTGTGTATATGACTTTTAAATGAAGCTGGTGTCAACTAATTTATAATTAATGTGAAGGTCAAGGCTTTTCCAAAAAGCAACGGAAGCAAGCACTTAGAAACTTGAAATGCCAAGATTATTGTATATGCAGGCTTTTCGTTTTTCCGGACAAAATGAGATCCTAAGCAATGTGCCTAATTTATATTTTCTGTGTAAATAAGGACTTAGTTTTTTGGTTGTTTATGGGCATTTGTGATGAGTTTATATTTGTAGGATATTTATTTTCTGAATCTCAGTGTGGTGTGATTCTGAGATTTTTTTGATTTTTGACGTACGTGATTTTCTGCTCGTTTCTTTGTGTGTGGGTGTTTATTAAAGAGGAAGAGAGAAAGAGAGAGAGAGAGAGAGAGAGAGAGAGAGAGAGAGAGAGAGTGTGTGTGTGTGTGTGAATTGCTTCGTTCTTCTTTATTATGTATCGTTGTATAATTATTTTTTCCTTCTATTTATTGTGGGGGTGTTTTTTCTATATGTGTATGCTCCTCATTTCACATTTGTATGTGATGCCTTTGATGTGGGTATTTTTTTGTTTCTTTGTGTTAGATGGTACTGTCTGTGAAGATTTTGTTTGTTAGTTTGGTTGTGTGTGATAAATATCGTTTATATTTAGTGTATGTGTGCATTTAAGATCGCAAAGAGATTGAGAGAGAGTAAGTGAGTGTGGAGGGAGAAAGAGAAAGAGAAAGAGAAAGAGAAAGAGAGAGAGAGAGAGAGAGAGAGAGAGAGAGAGAGAGAGAGAGAGAGATTGTAGAAAGAGTTTTTAGGGGTTTTATGAAAGGAGAAAAATAATACCTATATGAGAGGAAAAAGAGACAGACATGGTATATTTTTATGTGAAGGAAGAAAAAGGCAAAGCACAACGAGGACCTCTGGGGAAGAATTCAAGACCTGACAGTGTTGAACGAATTTCCCAAAGTGGAAAATCTGCTACTTTATATAAGAAAAATGTATAATACCAAAACGGGACGGAGCAGATTCAAAGTATAAACTATGTGTGTGTTAAAAATAAAATTCTGTGTTTATCCAAGCGTGGCATGTTTTGCCAATTTAAACCCGTAGTTACGTTACTGGCTAAATGCAGACTTTTGATCGTCCTGATCGTTTATTTATTCAAGAATTCCATGTTTATCCGCGTTAAACGATTTTATTTTTTCAACATCAGTACAAAACAGTCAAAGTTTTACAAATATTTCATTGTGGGTAAATGTGTCACCTTCATGAGTGCGAATCGCTGATCGTCCGTGAGGCCAAGGTTCGTCTGAGCTCTCGACATATCCACACAGTTGTACGTTTGAACCAAACTGAAAAGGAACGCGGAGAGTTGGCTTTCCACTCTTCGGCACCTCCTTCTCCTTGCCCAAGGACGTCCACCTGGATCCCCTCCAGTCGATAACACCATCATGGTTCGTTCCCCTGCCGGTCAGAAGCATCGAATACTTTCATGAAAAATTATATGGAAACGGTTCTTAACCGATTAATCCGCGACCGGTCGACTCCTTGCAAAATATCCCTGAGGAAGGAAGGAAGGAAGAAACAAGACTGCATAAGCTATATTTCATAAATGTGCCTATAATTTTTTTTTAATATCCCTGAGAAAGGAAGGAAGAAACAAGACAGCATAAACTATATTTCATAAATGTGCCTATAATTTTTTTTCAATATCCTTGAGGAAAGAAGGAAGAAACAAGACGGCATAAGCTATATTTCATAAATGTGCCTATAAAATTGTTGCTTTTTTTCCCAAAACAATCCATAAAAATTATACTTTGAAATAAATATAATAAACCGCCAAGTAAACCTTAAAAAACAATTTAATGCATGATTTTGTTGGTCCTTACTGGTTTTCTGTTGTCATTTTAGTGTTTGTTAGGTTATTATTTTTTTTTATGAGGATTTACAACAGCAGATGCCATATAAACTGTCGAGGTGTAGGTGTTTTAGAAAAAAAGGCCATTTGTAAGTACAATATATCCAGCGGTTCTGCATTCGAGCCCTGGACCTTTACCTTACAGTGATGAGGTCAACGCCAAACGTTTCGGCCTCCGACGCCCTTTTCAACTCTTATAATACATTGGTTAAAATCTCTTAAATATCATGACATAAAGAAACACTCTAATCCTCATATTTTAATATAATCATTGGAATAATGTTTAATTATATAATTAATTTTTTAATGAAAAATCAACTGTTTATTTTAATTCAGAGTTCGTCTTCTGGTTCGTCGGACAATCGAATTCTTGTTTTTAAAACTTCTGAAAAATAAATAAAGGCAGGATCAAGAGGAAGAAATTGGACAATTCATACTTTTCAAACATATATTATTGTACAAACAAATTTCTTGTTACATTAATATATGTTTCATATGTATTCTATGACTAATAAATCTGTGACATTTCCAAACAATTGTCATAACCCACTAAAAATGAACAATTCAACGGAAAATATATTTGTCTAATAACAATACTATACATTTACTTACTATTTTTCTTTCCGTTACATAATGAGGTAAAACTGAAAATTTCAACATGTATTCTTACCCTGTGGTGTTGTTGGATTTATTCGTAAAATTATTTATAAAACACTTAAAATTTATTTATTATTGCCTCTTTGTATGGCTATTTTATTTATTCTTTACATTTTTTTTTGTTGAAAGAAATTTTACCATCCTAATTATTTAAAATGAAGTACAAATTGTACAATTCTTATAAACTCTGCAATAAATTCATAAACTTTTTTAATAAATGTTACATATGTACAAATTAACACATTCACGAACATGACAAGCATGTAACTAACGTGTAATTTTTTAACATCTAAAATTTGTGCACAGATTAATGTATTTCCTCCCAAGCGTATGAGCCACTAGTTAACCTGATGCTACATAAAATAAAAATAAAAAATAATACAAATTTAAAATTGAGATCGAGATATTGTGATAGGGAGTGTCAAATATCTGAATCTTGAGTGATAAATTTCAATTTTCAATTGGTGTTCATTTAATGTTTTTGGATTATGCTTGACAAAAAAGGGAACAACATAGGAATTTCTCTAAGCATTAACTACAAGTTTTCTTGACATTTAAACTCAATGTTTAAACAATTTCCTATCGAAATTGGGTAGGAATAATACACCGAAACAACATCCATTACTCAAACAACATAATTACATTACTGGGAAACATACAAAAGTGATGAACTGTTGGAGAAATAAATTTTCAATCACAGTTTACTAAAATATGAGCCACTAAAACCTGACGTTTTGTTAAAATGTCACTTTATTAGTTAAAAAGACATTTTGAATAATTTTGCCTTTGAATAGCCATAGACTTTTATAGAAGAGAAATAGCTAAGTCCCACATTTAAATCAAAACAAAAGTCAAGGAGAGAACTAGATAGAGAGATGTAAATAGTAAAATAGTTTATGAAGAGGAAAAATATAATTTCACGTTCAGTACTTGTTGGATAAGATTGAAAATGAAACATCAAACTATCCACATTATTTCAATTAACAATCATTAGGCCTATTAATATTATTTCACAGATCCGATCGGACCGAAGTCGACTCGATTTCGTCAGCAATAAAAATGCGAAATGGCAAGCCCTGGGACTTGAGCTCGCCGAAAGCCATCTGAAGAAAACAAGGCGAGGCGCCACTAGATACACAAAAGCTTTTATTACACACTTTTTAAACGGATTTCTTATAGACTTATAATTATCAATAAATTTCTCAAAAATTTACACAGACAACTTTGATATGTATCGTTACATGTGATATGTTTTTTCCTATTTAGTAATAAATCCATTTGAACCATTATTTACCTTTTATCCTTCTTTTAAATTAAAATTTACAATATTCACCTATCTACATATACTATTATTTCAGAATCACAATTGGTTGACACCAATAAAAAACAATTTTCAACTATCTAACACGATCTAATCTACTATCATAATTCAGATATATTCACAAAAAATAATTATCTGACATTTATAAGTAATTTAACAGTAACAAGATAAAATTATTGCAACCGATTATCATTCTATTTAGCTTATCAACACCATAAACATGTGAGGATTACTGAAATTTATTTAAATTTTACATAATCAACTTGGATCTTATAAGTTATTATTTATTTTAATATAGAAATGACTTCTGTTCCACTAGTTAAAAACATAACACAAACCTAAAAAGTTTATCCTGATAAATGTATACAAAATCAATGTAAATTTGTAAAACAGTTCGCAATTTCCCTTGTACAAATTATTTATTACATAATCTTGTATAAAATAAAAAAATAATAATAGGTTAAGAAAGTTTGTTTTAAAGATCTTCTCAATTCAAATGTTCAATATGCAAAATAAATAAACAGAATTATGGTAAAGTGTCATTTCCTAAAAAGGTTGGGAAGCTCTACGTAATAAATAAACTTACGTATAATATTATAAAGTTTATGTATCGCCTATATAGAGGGAAACGTCGTGAAAAGTACGATGAAATATTTTCTATTATTTAAATTAGGAAGTTTATTTTTTTCAAACAAAAAATATTAAAGTGTCTTAAATAATTAAATGAAAAGTTAATTTGCTGCATAAGAGGTTGGTTGTTTATTTTTATATCTTCATTGTGTCTTTCTTGAAGTAACAAATAAAATTTTATCTCAAGCAATTAACAGTAGTATAATTAAAAGTCTTAATTATAATTTCTATCCGTTGTAATATCAGGGCGGAAGTACGAAGAATAATTGTCTTTTACGAGCAATAAAATTAAAATGTACGCTATAATATATAAACAAATACATCGTGATAAATAAATACACAAAGAAAACATTAAATATGATAAAAATACAGGTTTTCGTTTTAAAATAGTAATGTATTAATAAATGGTACAACATTAAAATACGTTCTTAGAAACCAATACGTGTATATATATATATATGTATATATATAATTGAGTTTTTAAAAATAAATAGAATGATGATCAATTTGGTTTTGTGCCGATATTTTACAAAAAGGCTGGGAAGCACTATTATATGGTACATATGTTCGAATTAAAGTAGTGTTAAAATTAAAAACATATTTTTCATTCAAAATAATTATCAAATTTGTGCCTGTTTTCACGGAGCCAAAAAATTTAATCAACGACGTGAATGAGATGAATATGCAAATTAAATATTATTTGGTGGCAGCATTTTATTTTATATAAAAAACATAGTTTTTTTTTGTCTTTTGAGCTTTTTTTTAGTATTGTTTAATTTCTAATACTTTTCTGTTTTCCTGGTAATTCAGCAATTTGAATTGAGTTGAAATATTCTCCAAAGCTTATTGTGCAATTTAGGGCGAAACCTCTACACAAGAGGATTGCCAAAAAACCCTATAGTCAATAAATAGATTTTGATATTTCAAGTTAGAGCAATTCAGAATGATAGAAAGGTGAAAATTACAGGCAAAATTTCCTACTTTCTTAAGAGTATTGTTGAAGATTTTACTGATTTGAAGTAACAGCATTTATTTGTATTAAGTTTTATAAAAAACATTATAATAATTGAACAAAACAATTGAATGAATAAAGCTTTTTGATTTTTGACAACAAAAAAAATATCACAAAACAAAACCATTATTTCATTGGTCGTTAGTTTAGTATTTTCTTGTGAGTGAAATTTTTTTTTAAAGAATACGTTCTAATAATTATTGATATGTTACAGTCAGTTCAAATTCAAAAGGTTTTAAGAAGCTAAGAAGTTACTCGTCAACTATAATATAGAATTTTTTTAACAAATCATCGGTTTTAAAAAAAATATCCATCCTAGCCTTGATCGTCATATTGAGTTTAAACAAAATTCAGTATCGAAATTCAACATCAAAAATTCAACAATTTCCAATATGGAGTACAAAAATATTTTATATGTTATATACCTCACAATCGAATGCCAGCTATTAACTATCATTCATATTTCAACAGTTCAAATCAAATGTATAACAGATCAATGTGATCCAAAGGTACGCAAGCAAGTCTATCACCAGTGATACACGAGGGATCATTTTATAATAAAAGGCCGTTCGACCGTAGCCTCAAGTATTTCAATAATTTTGCAATATTAAAATGAAAGATGCGAAAAACAAATTTCTCTGGATATTTTCACTTTGGATAAAGCACAAAAATATTTCCTCGAGTACAAATGTGATAGACTCATTATTTTAAATTCTATGGCCGGTCAACTGATTTTCTTAACATGATATGTATATGTTGCCTTATCCTACAAACCTTATGATTTAAATTTCCATTTCCAAATTATAAAATTTCTTCTGGTTTTTTTGAATTTTTGTATAACCACTTGGTTCCCTAACCCTTTTTTTGTGTTGATATGTTTTATTATCACAGTTGTTGATAGAATTCTACATTTATGTCTTTATTTATTTTTCATTTTGCCTACTGCCATTTTCTTTCTTATAAATATTAAACTTGTAATTATTAAAACAGAAAAGGCAGAGGACAAAATTACGGCAAGATATTAATAATGCTCCTTGACTTTCTTTTCATTTTTCATTTTTTTTAAGCAGTTAATTTAAAATAATTCGAAATCTTGGAAAAGCCTCGATAGCAAGTCGGACCATTCAAGATTTTTTTTTTTTGAAAAATAGAAAGAAAGAACTTTTTGTGTTGTTGCTTGACATAGGGCAATTTTGATCAGCTCTGCCCGCTACTTCTCCGGCCAGCCTAAATCCTCACCGACGAGCTCGTAAAATTTTTGGTTGTGCTCTACGTAAAAGCGTCTCAATTTCGTTAGGACCTTAACATTAGACAAAAAAATATTTAAAAAACGGGTTAATTTAAAACACAAACCAAAAAGTAACAGAGAAGAATTGAATAAATAAACCAATGAACAATTACTCATTTATCTATTATCGCAGAGATTTAATATGAATAATAACTCAAAATGGCTGGCTATGGATGTGGGATCAACCATTTTGGTGATACTATGTGCAAATCTGCTGGCAAGTTGTCATGTTTTCTTGCCATTTGGTCCTATGAGCCGAGAACAAATATTTTAAGTCATTTACACTGTTTTAAATAATGGTTTTTCTCCCTTTGTTGTGTGTGTATTTCAAGATAATTATATATTATATATATATATTTGTAGAGTTATTTATTTATGTAAGGTAGTAGCAAAAAAGTAAAATTATTGATCCCACATCTGTAGCGTCCCCTTGCCGGTAAATATGTAATAATAAATCTAGGAGTCAAAATCTGAAAATATATCATAAAAGTATCATTAAGTTAAGTTTAGAACCATCATAAAACAATCAAACAAAGTTTGCCTACTTTGATGAAAGTCTATGTTTATAGGAATTATTTAAAATCATTTTCATAGAATAATCATCATTTAATAGAAAGATATGTTTTATAACAGATTTATATTTAAATTTTAAGCAATTGGTTGCTATAATTACAGCCGGTTTTTTTCCCTATTGTGCCTTTGTATTGGACAAATCGAATGAAAGCAGGTTTAAAGAACACAATATAAAAGGGGAAAGGGATTTATTCATCTCACCTTTGGGTCCACTCTGGGGTGTTTCCTCCCTTTACTCTCCCTCAAACATTTGTCCTCAGTCCCGTTCCTCAGACAATAAAAGCCTTTCGTCCTGTTGAAGTAGAAGTTTTGCCTACTTATGCGATGCTCGAGCCCCAGGAAGCTTTCGATCCTTTCCAGCTCCGATACGGGGTCTTCGATCAGTCTGTCCCCGTTAACGACGAGCAACTGCTGCCTCGGAAAGACCTAAACGGAACGGTTGTTATTCACTTGGATTTGTTTGAATGTTCAAGAAAGACGTACTTCGAGCCAGCGGTGCATGTAGATGTGATAAAGAGAAAGCGCTATCGGCCTGTAAGCAATATTGACAGACCCGTCGCCGTGTATTGCAAGTTGTTCGAAGCTCAATTGCTTGAATTGGGGCGTCGGCGATGCCGCTGTTGCTGCGTGGGTTTTCAGTTGGACGTAATCAGATATCGCCCTTGTGACTGGCTCTCTGACAATAAGAAGCAGTTTCACGCTCGAGTTCATAGCGCGTATCCTCTCGGGGACCTGTTATTTTTCCCAAAAGAATATTACATATTTAAACAAGCATCGCTGAGATTTTTAAAATTAATTTTTACACCATAAACAAACAATTTAATAATAAAATTTCAAATTATTCAATTTTAAACAGTTAGCAGAAATTAAGCATATTTTTATTAAACATATTAACATATTAAATATTTTTCTTGTTTCTCACAAGTCTAATTATGTTATGAAAGCTAATAACTAACACAAAAAATCAATAAAAAATAGTGTAACTTAAATAAAAAAATCTGTCTATTTATACAGAAAAGTACTGGATTCTTTGTTTTATCGACGTTAACCCCAGAACATTTTATTTAAACTGATCAAATTCAAAATTGAACTTAGTTGCAGTGACCTTAAACCGCAAACCCTAAGGGAATTTCGCCCAGATTTATACATACACGTGTGTGTGTGTGTGTGTGTTTTGCTAATTTGTTTGAAATGTTTAACTGTTTTTGTTTGTTATTTCATTAGTTTCTTTGCTTGTTTATATATGTATTTATTTGTTTATTCGATCGTATGTATCTCTCTCTCTCTCTCTCTCTCTCTCTCTCTCTCTCACACACACACACACACACACACACACACATCTATTTATATACCTTTCTGATCTCTCTCTTTTTATCTTTCTCTTTCTCTCTCTCTTTTTCTCTTTCTCTTTCTCTCTCACTATTTCTCTCTCACTCTCTCTCTCTCTATCTCTCTCTCACTCTCTCTCTCTTTTGCACACACACATATCTATTTATCTACCTCATTTCATCATCATTTCGAGTGATATGCTCAAGTCGAGTCAATATATTTTTTAGAAATTCTCTAAATTTGTGTTGTTACAGTTGTTAAAGTGATTTAACACAATGAAATTAATCCAGATTGTATAGCACTTAACTAGGCCAATGTCGTTTGCAAAACAGCGGAACATCAAGCAAGGTAAAATTGTCAGCCGATTTACATAATGGTTGTCAGGCGATTTACGAAGGAAAACGCATCAATAGTTTTAAAATCTGGCGTAAAAAAGACTAATTTTACGTCTATGCGACTTACCTCAGGGGTGACGAAATAGCTCGGCGACTTCTCAATAGTTATCTGCCCTTTGAACGAGTGTGGCATTCTTTTTCTATACCAGTCCAAGCCTTTGTTGTAATTTTGGTCCTTGTCGAAGAAATGTATTTCACCAGCTGCTCTCGTTACTCCTGGATGAAGATAGAGCATTTCAAGAAGGGCTCTTGTCCCGCACTTCTTCACACCGATGATTATCGCCTGGAAAACACGAAAAAACGTTTTTTACATCTATTTGTATTAGTTAGCCAAAGGTGGAAATCTTGACTTCGTATATACGTTGATTGGTTTTCAAACATGCCTTCATAAAATAGCTCAATACCTCAGCCAAGCAATGACATATTTGAATTTGTGATCAATACAGAAACAAAAATCTGACATAATGTAGTTCAATTCGGAGTCAATTAAAAAAACTTTTAAAGCTCATTCAGAGCTGGGCTCTCAAAAATGTGCTATTCGATCTTTTACAGATGGTATACGCGGTCAAACAAGCAGATATTGCCTGGGGAAATTGGCGAATTGTAAAGCCTTGTTGGTTTTGAATACCTCGCATGTACGTTGCATGTTCCTGTCAGACGAGCATCCCCCTTTTTGCGGCTAGACGAAAAACAAAGCTAGAATAAACCAGGACGACCAAAAATCAATTTGAACTGCAAATTTGACGAATTTCTACGCCCAGGAAAATATTGTATTTTATTGAAATATCAGCATCATCTTTAATTTACTATCAGAATGACTATTCAGAAATCGTGAGATGCGATCACCACACATTACTAAACCGTAAAAATTAATAGCTCATAGTCTTGTTAAAAATAGTTTTCTAATTTTTGTTTTATTGTAACAAATATCATGGAAGTATTCCTTCGTAATTCTTATACCTAGAGCTCACAAACCTCCCAACGATATTTCCTCTTGTAGGTTCATCTGTCTTCCTGCGATGTCCAATACACAACTTTGATTTAAATAAAATAATTCATTTCACAATCTAAGAAGTCGTTTCCTCTACTCTAGAGACAAGAATACCTAGTTCTATCTCGACCTTTGGATTCCTTGATAAAATGGTAATACCTCTTACTAATACCAACTTGTAAAGGAGAACGCTAGATACAACAGGATTCAGCTCGAGCACACAACGCGAAATTTACCCAAGCTTAAGGCGACCCTTCCTAGATTAAATAGCTAGGATGGGCCTTCTGCCAGGTCAAATCTTATTCCTTTCGTCAACCAATTGTGACGGTGTTTGAGAGAATGGTCTATAGAAAAAATATCCATCAAACAAATCTTTATAAAAGGCGATCTGATAAAAACAGTCGAACAATTTCCACTAGAAACAGTTTGTGCCGCAATTGGACAAGTGGCTCAGGCGTGTTCAATGCTGTGTTCGGGCTAAATGGCGCCATTTCAAAAAATGACTTTTACGGTATTAAGAAATTATTTATTAATAGTTAATGCGTTTTTATTTAAAGACTTGTTTAATTTTAAACAAAATGAGCTGTTGTGACTTGTGGCGAGACTACGTATGCTAGAAATACGTTCCCCAATATGGCCTAGGCTCGGCACCCAGGCATCGTCTATAAACTTATACACTTCCTACTCGCTCCTTATTATCTTATCTTCGAATTCTATTTAATTGATCGCTGATTCAATGTAAGTAGCGGCAACCAATACTCAGGTATACAAGGCAACACAAACCGGCGTCCCCCAAAGGTCTCTTCTTGGTCTCGAGCTGTATACTATTTCTACTGCGGATTTTCCTATACATCCCATCACCATCATTGCTGAAACCGGAGGCTGAAAATGTCGACACGATATCTTACTCGCCTAACTTCGGTTTTCCGGGATAGTCGCCAAGCTGCCACCCATCCGTCACTGGATGGTCGCCATTCATACTTTATAAGTCCTCGTGTACGCCCACACATTATGTTCGTTTTTTTAACGATTTTTACTTGTTGCGTTATTTAAATGGCAGTTGTAAATAAATAAATAAAAATATATTGAAAAATTACAAAACAGTGCCGATAAAAATATTTTTCTTTGTATAGACTAAACCCGCAAAGCTGTTGAGTAGTGCATGATGGTATACTGAAAGCGCCGTTTTTATTTTTAAAAAAACATTCCACAGTTTTTGTATTATTAGATTTTTTGAATTATACTATTTTAATAAAGGAAAACAAAGGTTTTTTTTGTTGGTTTAAAATTTCTCTTACAAAAAAAATAAAGAGCGAGAGAAAAGAAAAATCCTCCCCAGGGTAGTTTAAAGTATTTATTACACAAAAGAAACTCCTCTCACTACGCTGAAAAAGTAAAATGACGTAACAACATTCCAACATGGAAAGAAAGGTGTTTTTTTTTTAAATTAACATAATGTCTTTGTGTTGAAACATTGAAAATATAATCGAAAGGAGGATCTAAGAAATTATTAAAACAAGAATAGTCTCGTAATATCTTTAGAATAGTTTTTTCCAAAAGTAGTTGTAAAAAACAATTTACTCCGTTGAATATAAGCCTTGGTTAATATTTAAAATTAATTACAATGTTAATATGGTTTTGTTTTTTAATTTTAAATAATAAGGGACTTTCCATTTGACATAATCGTCAAGCAACTCAAGCTTTGTAAATAATTAATTTTTAATCGTTTAAAATATATTGACCCAACCCTTTTTCCACCCTTCATTTGTTTTTTTTTTCTTTAAACATTCAATTTAGTTTCATCGACAGAAAAAGTTCATACCGCACCAGACAAAATTGTATAGGCAAAAATCCAGTATCAAAGGCTTACTCGAAAAATATGTAAGTTAAAAGTCCAAGGATAAAGCCTTCCGAGCCCGCTTTGATTGGTTGTAGCAGAAAGGCTCGGCAGAAGTGACATTATAATTTAGGAAAACGGGAGAAAACATGTGGGTGGCTTGAGAGATGATTTCTCCAGGGATAGGGACATATGATGCGATCTAATAGGCACCTCCAGGCAACACTTCTTGTCTCCTACTTTCTTTTGACCGTTCTACAATTCTTTGTGATTTTTGGCTGTAGTGGTTTTTAGCAAGTTTCGTGAATTGTATATATAATGTATGTATGTAGAACTGGTGTCATTTGAGATTTTCCTCTAAGCTTACTAATGTCTGAATTTCTTTGAGCATATTTAATAGTGAGTTCTATTCTATTTCGTATATTTCATATTTTTTTATTCATAAAAATTGTTTTACACTGCAAAACTAAACAACTACACATCAAATTTACTTGAGATGTACTATTGCTATTCTAGCAAAAATACAAATTGTATAGAACTGTGGAAAATAAATTTTGAAAGAAAAATTTAAGAAGGGAAAACTAGAAAAATTAAAGAGGCGTTAAGATCAGAAACATTCACTTCTACCGATAAACAAGTTTCCTCACGTTTAACAAATATTAATAATGATATCACCTTGCATATCAAGAGCACGACTGAACAATGGCCTTCCGAGAGTGAAACGAAAAGAAATGGTCGTGCTAGTTCATTTGGTCGTGGAGTGCCAGGTCGTGGCTCCTTATAGGGAGCGAGTAGGCATGGCCCTGGATATTAAGAGTCGGCCATGATAGTAGGTTGTTGGGTACTCTGTTCCGAATTTTAAGGGAAACGGGAGGGTTTCTCCATATATAAACTGTATATTATATTGTATTGTACTTTATATTATATATGTTTGGGTGGTTGTACAGTTTATGTGAATAAATAAGTGAGAGGGCTGATGGCGAAAAATCGAGTACACCATCAACCCTCATATTGCCCATAGGGGGCTGATATGACTTCTTTCTCGATACCCTTCATTCAAAAACATCAAAAATGATATCACAAAAGATATTAATTTCAAAATAGTGTACCGACGAACCAATTGAAAAGTCAAAATGGCAAAACGCGTCTGACAAACAAAACCTGTGAGAATACGATCGAAAAAAGATTATAGTAAAAAGCCATTATTAACGTATTATCGCCTAATTAAGTTAGTAATGTGTATTCTCTTATTTCTTTATTCTTGGTGATTCCTTATTTATTAGTAGTAGGGGATTTATTGTCATCACTCTAAGCTTTTTTAGTTTTTATTGGTACATTTTGTCACTCCACGAAGTGTCCTCTTGAGCTCAAAAGCCTGGGATAAACCTGTAATGTTAATTGAGGGGGTCAGATAACAAAAAGAAGTTCAAGATCAAGATCTTGAATTGTGTTTGTAAACAAAACAAAAATTTTCATTAAATTTCAGTTTATTTTATATTCATTACAAGCAAGTAATTTATAAATGATTAAGCTATTTTCTTAAATTTTGGTTAGCGTAGACATAGTTAATAGTACATTTATCTGACGAGAACAAAATTAAATTAATAAAAATGTCAATGCAAGAATCAAAGAAACTACAATCAGCGTAAATTGCATCAGTGGAACTACTAGAATTTTGTTTCTTTTTAAACTTTTCATATAATTACTTTGATCAAAACAGCTAATCGTTAGGGTTTGGGTGATAAGATGTCCTTTAAAGGTCATATGGAGCAAAAACAACTTTTTAGGCAGTGCCGAGCTTTTGGTGGTTTATGCCACCATAACCAGGGATTGTTTTAATTAAAAAAACAATTATTGGAATATACTACCGAAACTCGGCACAGCCGAAAAATTCGTTTTTGCTCCATAAGACCTCACGAAAGATCTTATCACCCAAACTTAACTTGCTGTAGGTCAATAAGCATCCAAAACAATAATCCCTAGGGATTTTACATCGAAGGAAAAATGTCATTGCCGTACTCATTACTACATTAGAAATAATAGTACATTTACCTATTAACTGTAAACTCACCTGAGGAAGCCTGCGACTCGTCCGTCTGAAGTGCAGTTTTGGAGCTGCGACTTGGGACGGGGCAGACGAGGAGGTCGGGAACAGCACGGGTGTAGTGCGAAACACGGCTATCGGAGGCGGCGAGGTCTGCGATGTTGGTTTTTCCGATTTGACGACATCCGATTCGTAAAGAGCCAGGTGAGTCAAGGCTACGAGGAAGGCGAGCGAGACGAGACCTGCTGCCAGACCCCTCCAATCCCTACCCATACCGCCTCTGAAAACAAAAATTAATGTGTAAAGTTGATTAATGGCTATCCTTAAAAAAAGGGAAACTAGAATAACATTTACACATAATTAAAACACTACTATTCTACTCATCCTAAAACAAAATATATAATTTAAAAGATTTAATTTTCCATTATTGTTATACAGTTTAACCTAAATTTTAAGAAACACGAAGAACTACAGAATACAGTAGTACTTATTTTTAGACCAAAGCCCGCTTATGAGTCCGTCATGTAGAGAAAGGTTGCTCGATGTTTCCCACATAATTGAAGAGTGTCATTCCTTGGTTTCATACAGAGAGCGAATAGGGACCGATATAAAAAATGTGCACTGTAGCAGATTTTTGGTCCACTGCTCGTTGATTGGAGAAGCAGAACTATTTTATTGCATACAGATAAATGTCTTGTTTTGTGTGTATTGGGGTTGAACGAATTTATTAGCATGAATATGTAGTGCAAGTATTTCACCTTCCTCACCTGACTATGATGTATAAATAAGAAAAAATGTATTTAAGAATAAATGAGAGTTCAATCTTTTTAAAAAGATAGTTTCCAGTCAGAGTCACTTGCTTCCGATGATCCGGATTTCGAGCTTATAGCTCATCATCAGGTTGAAGGAATTTACAACACGTCTCTCATTAATTGCAAGAGTCCATTAAAGTAATTCCTTTACTGTGAGTGGGGACTATCTTTTTAAAAAGATTGCACAGCACATTCACTCCACCATTTATCATTTCTATTCTAAATGAGAGTTTGTCCAAATTTATTGTTAATTGTTGAGGCTTAAATGATCTAGTTGTTGACAGCTCTTAGAGCCTAACGGCGGCGTGACGGACAAGAACCTGAGCTTGCCACAAGTCGTAAGTTCGATTCTCTAAATAATATGTTTATGCACGTGCATAATTATGCAGGGGTGAGCTTATATAAATAAATTAATCAGGCAGAGTCTCATCGTACCCATGAGTTTCCACGAGAGAACACTAGCGAATACCTACGCAAAAAATACAATGGTAATGGCACCAAACAAATTTCAAGATTGATACACATTTTTGAAAATCGCGAATACGAAATTCGTGATTTTGATTGACTCTAAAGCTTTCACATCCTATCTACTTTCCAAGTTGTTGACAAAATCTAATCAGCAAGAAGAAATCTTATTTCTGGATAGATTGCATTGAAAATAGACAAACTGAGTTGTTCAAAAACGATCAGATACAGAACTAAATCTAACGATTGGTGATAAGATAATATAGCACTTGAGAAGGTTGAAATACACATTTGTGAAATATTTTCAAAAGCCAGAAATGAACCGTTCACTTTATAATAAGCTTTTTTGTCAATGCTCGAGAAGGAAAAAATTATTGAAGCTGAAATCTAAAAGACGTCTTGAATGGCAAAATCATAAACCTTTTCTCTTTTTTTGTAAAGAGTAGTGTGAAGTCTTAAGAAAGACAATAATTTACGTTTTTCTTTCCGTTTACTATGACTGATCTTGTAAAACGGGCATCTTCTTATGCTCACATGCAAAATAAATAAAAAAGCATAGTAGATGCGAATTTGAGAAAATATCGGTCTTCGTAAAACCAAATTTTGCAAATCTATGTGCATCAATACAAACTTAAAAATGTCATTAATTTTCAGTTTTTTTCTAGTTTCGCTTTGTTTTAAAAATTTACTCTACCCTTTCTAATTTTCTAAAAATAAATCATGAACAAAAAGGTACAGTCGTTTAGTATTTATATATCCCTAATTTATGCGAACTGAGCACATGGTAGGACAGGGGTTAGGAGAGGATGACGCGGTATGAGGAGGATTCCAGGAAAGTAAGTATTCTTAGAGGAACCTGCAGGCGAACGCAGAGTGAAAAAGGGTCAGAAGCACTGATGTATACAATTCTATATTTTAAAAACGTTTAGTTTTGAAAGTATTGGTTATTTTACAATTTCTTTCACCTCTCTTTTTTTCATATATTAACAAATAAAATAATATTACAAATAAACTTTATATCGCTTTAATCATATTGGATCATTTGGGATTTACAGCACTTTATGTTGCAAGCACAAAGCTTGAATTTAGTAAACCTTGCCCTGAAAACCTGGTGATCGCCTAGTGTGTACAACAGTCGGTTTTGAAAATTATCAAAATTTTCCACTCGACGAATCATGGCAGGTTTTTTCCAAGGTAAACCTAACAAAATGGTTTCTGCTACAAAGGAAAACAACCCAATAAGAAGCAGTTATTGCCAAACCACCGGTTTTATGTTTAAAGGTTGTCTCTTTGGTAAAGATCAAACGTTTATCCATAGGTGCACATGAAAGATGTTAATTCAATAATGATCCCATGATTTAGTTTATAACAATTTTTATTAGAAATGTGAGACAAAATACAGTGTGTACTAGACAAGGTTTGTTATTTTTGTTGATCAAGATTTTTTAAATAAAAAAAATCATTTTTTTAATACATTTATTTAATAAATATGGTCAAATGAAACCATCTATTAATTTTACAATGACTAAATTAGAAGTAAATAAATAATAAATAACTTTAATTCACTCCACAGTGTCACTGTTTATATAATTTAGTTCTTACAAGAACTTTATAGTAAAGTTATGAATGCACATTTTTCCCTAATCAGTTATAATTATAAAACCGGTCAGAATTCAAACATCTATTTTTAAGCTGTACTTTGTATAGTAATAAAACTGGAAAGACTTTTATGAATTAAATATATGTTATAATATAAGACAATAGCTAAAAAAGAAAAAGTGGCGAAATAGCCTTATAAGTCCTAGGCAAAGTTGCAATCCCGAATAATAAGCAATGTGTTCACCATGGGGTCTGAGAGGTGATGAACGTGAAATTAGGTCGTTTCCGATCGTTTTGATCTGCCTATCCTCGCTGATTTGGTTTTCCATTTCTTAATTTTTATGTATATACGTATGAAATTACACGTATATACATATGAAATTACGTACGAATATTATGAACCAATGTGTGTGTAAAAAGATCCATTATAATTAGTTTAAACTTTTGTGAGCGTACGATTTGTATTCGTTTATGAACGCCTTTACGTTTCTTTATGAAATTCAGACTTTGTCATATGAGGAAAAAAATTAGATTGTTTGTTCAGTATTATGATAAATGTACCTAAGTGGTCACGTTTTTCCCTACCGACTCGACGCGATAAGAATATACGTCACACTTCCTCCCTGCTTCACTTCAACTCAGAGGACGCTAAAATTCTTGAGAGTGTTCAATTTAACTTAAATACAATATAAATTGTAGCTATAACAGATATAGTTATAATTATAATTATATAATTTTATGGTTAGCCGAATTGACTTTTTACTTTTAAAAGTTCCAATCCATCCACACGATTAAAAAAAACAGACTCAACAAACGATTGAAATGCTTTGTTGGTACTTCACCGACAATCAAAATTACCATTAAAATGAAAACTTTCAACATAAATATACTTACTCAAACCTATTTGGATGTTCGGGTGCCAAGCTTATGGATCGGCCAAATATTCCTATATTCAAATATTGCAATGTTTTCAATTCAAAATTTTAAGACTAATAGTTTCTGCCCCTTTTTACGTAAAAAATATCATAAGTTCACAGATATCTTCACATGCCAACTGTTTTTTCATCCATCAAAACAACTTACGGACGTTTTCATAGTAAATTACAAAATCACACTAACACACAAATACGATTACTCCATTCCCCACAATTACACAAAATGGATCAGAGACCTCTTAAACGATTAATATCATTTCATTAATCCAGGGCGGCTGCCAATGGGTAGCTTTCGGTAGAACGCCCGTAAGGCCATAATCATAAATTGAAATCCAATCAGCTGGTTGTATATAATACATGTACAGTTGTAGATAAAAATAAATGAAGTAAAAAAAAAGTTACAATGGCATAGGTTTTTAATGTATTGCTCCCTTTTTTGTAGTAATTCAGATGGTATGTTTATTTTGATTATTAAAATTATATTTTTTTAAGCTTCTAGTCAATAATACGTTCTACTAAAAAGCACTTCGATAAAATTACGACTTGTTTCTCTTTTCATGATATTTTCCAAAATGTCGGAAAAATTATGAGAGTGATTAGAATGTTGTTTAGGTTTCATGCTAAAATATTTGTTTGTTGATTATTGGGTTTTCGTTATTGGCAATTTCATAATGGAGGGTAAGGGAAAAACTCAATATCTTAATTAATACCTGTCATATCTATTATATGGAAACGTCATAAACATATCTTCATAATAATTTTTTTTCTTTGACTTTGATAGACGGTGTAGTAATGTATATAGTAGATTGACGTTGAATTTATTAGATAAAATGTTTACCCACAAAAACACACCCACTATGCTGGTATGCTACAGGTTCTATTTTAACGAGGGGAGAATCGGCATTATAAAGCCGGGAAAAAATTCCCGGCAATAATAAATCGCAGTTGTATGAACACACAGGCCCAACTGGTACGCGATAACGATAATCACCATCCAGACATGTATAAATCCGTTGAAAAACTTTGCCCGAAGCCTCCTGCAACCGGACTTCACATAATTACACTCGCCCACTCCCCCATTTCGATGACCACACGGCCTTAATTTTCGACGACACGCAAGGGAAATTCGAACATATACGCATTACCCGTTCAATATGTTTGTATGACTCTATTCCAACTGACTAATTAATCAAAGCAATCCCGTACTCGTGAATTAACTTTATTAACTAGAGATACAATTAATAACGTATGTTAAACTAACAAGAGAACGGTATGGGCGTGAGATCAACGATTTTAACTATTTTTTGGTGATCCTAGATCGAAGAATACTAGACACTAACTTGGATGTGGCTCAGTCTGATATAAAATGAATAGGAAAGTAAATAAAAGTATTCTAGATACCACCAATACATACATCGTTCAATGTAATACCCTACGTTGCATTTCTGTGCCTATGTGGGATGAAAGGA